GCCCAGTGGTCGTGAATCCACTGGAGTCTCCCGTTGAGGAACACAGCCAATGTGTGCCTCTCGTTCCCCAGCAATTCCTTGGAGGGAGCGGCCGAATCGGTCTCATCTGGCACATACAGACAATTCCTCCACTCATGGTGTATCCTAATGTCAAACTTGGGTGTGAGGTACCATTCATCATGTCCGAATGGTCCTCCTGTCTCCGGGTCACTCATGCACAATCGCCGTTCCACAATTTCCTTTGCTTCTTCCAATTCTCCCGTCGTCAGCTCCTTCACTGACCGGGAATAATCATCCTGGCCAATGTCAGCAGACGGTTGCGCTTTCAAATGAGGTTTCTTTGCTGGCACTGACGCTTCCTGAATGGGAGGTCTTGCAATTGTGGATTGCTTCCCCGTCAATCGTCTTGCCGTCGGCAAGGATTGCAACGGGAATTCTGTCCTTCCCATCCAGTACTGATCCAACGCCCGTTGCGGAGAATCTATCGTCCGCCAATTGTCGGCGATGGTCTCCTCACGTCCATCTTCGAATCGGACGTAAGTTGTGCGTCTGGACGCCACATCTTCCACAGGAATGGGCCTGTCCTTGGTGCCACCTGGCGTGAATAACGCACGCCTTGCGCGCTTGTGATGTCGAATCAGCACAGCGCGTTGCGGATCAAGTTCCCAACTGTCGTTGTGGTAAATGGTGGGCTTAAATGTGGGTGCTATGGTCCCTGAAGAATCTGAACCAAACTCGGAATGAAACTCTTGACACACTTCTTCAAATCGGGGTTTGTCAAATGGAAGAATGTTCGGACCTAGGAAAAGCAGTGAGCCTTTTCGGTGAATACTCACTACCTTACCATTGGGCATAAACAATCCCAATGAGTCTGGTCCATCCAATGCTACGCGGAATCCCTGCAGCAGCAATCGTGCAACCGACACAATCGGATAAGGCACGTCACAAACATAAAAATTCATGAAGCAATCTTGTCCATCCAAGTTCAAGCCAACCAATCTTCTCCCATACATGTTCAATGGCTGTCCTGTGACACTCTTCAATGGTGGGCCATTTCCATTTAATGGAAGCAATGGCCATTGTTCACCAAAGTCTGGCGGACAGCAATGGGCAGATGCTCCTGAATCAAATAGAATCCACGGGGTGGAATCCTCGACTGCTGAAATCAACTGTTCATGCAAGAATGTGTCAACAAACTTCGAATTCAAGTGATCCAAGCCGCAGTCCTTCAAGGTGGTCACGAAATGAAAAGAATCCTTCACTGGGGTTGGTTCATCATACCAATCTAACAAGTCTTGTCCGGGAACAGGGGCAATCAATCCGGCACTCAAACATGGCATGCTATCCAATCCAGTGTCCAAGCAATACATCGACTTAAACAATCTTTCATGCTCTCCAAATGTCATCCAACTTTCACCTTCACCCTCAGACGGACTGCCACGAGTGGCAGGAATCTGAAAGGATGATCCTGAGGTGACCGAATTCATGACAAGTGCAGCAATCAAAAATGATGAGGCCTTTGGCTTGGCCTTTGGCCGAATGGGAGTTGAGCCAATGTTTGGACTCAATCCCGGCGGCACCTGTGTCACTGCTCCAATGGTTCCTTGCTGTGAATCTCCTGCTGGGGGTGGTCCTGCCGATGAAAACGCGGCAGAATCGCATCCAGCAGGAGGCTCTGGAATCTGACTGTCCTGAAACCAATCCCAAGGGTGGTCCCAAGAGTTCACAGAATCCCATGATCCCCAAGACGAATCCCAGGACCAATCTTCTCCTTCATCCCAACTCAATCCAGCAATGTCCCATGAGCCATCAGGCCACGACGAATCAGGCCAGGGCTCTTCGGACCATTCTTCATTCCAATCTTCCTCAATCACTCCGCTCACAGCTCTCTGCGGACATGTTCTGGAAATGTGGCCGCGAGAGCCGCAAATCCAGCAGGTTGCAATCGACCCTTTTCCTTTTCCTTTGGAATCCTTTCCTTTTCCTTTTGGGTCCTTTCCTTTGCCTTTGCCTTTGAAATCCTTTCCTTTTCCTTTTCCTTTGCTGAATGCTCCTTTGTTGTATGACCAATGTGGTCCTTTGGCTCCTTTGAATCCTTTGAATCCTTTGCCTTTGCCTTTTCCTTTGAATCCTTTCAGCGCCCCAATGTCCATGGGTGCTGGTCCTTGGTTGTCATTCCCCGGCATGTTCCTAAGAATGTGCCTGGAATGGTGGTACTGCACAATCACGTTTCGTGTTTGTTCATAGGTCAACAATGCCGAAGCATTGAGCCTCAAATGCTGTTGCAATGGGCCTGTTGTCTTGTTCAAGAGGGTAGCCACCAGAATGCTATCAGGAATGGCTTGGCCGGTTTGAGATTCATATCTGGCCTTAATGGTCTCCCAGGTGTTGAAATCTTGTTCAAATGTATTGGAGTGAAACTTGAATTCCAAAATCTGGCTAAGTAAACTCATGTGCCGTGTTGCGTCCGGCAATGCAAATTTGGAATACAATCTCCTCCAGGTTTCATAACCATTGCAGCCAATGTTCTGCCTGACTACCAGCCTTGCTGAATCACTGCACAAATTTGCTAACAAATAATGCAGCCTTCGGGAATTCTGAATCCTTCTGTCTGTGGCATCCTGGTTACCCGCTACATTCAAATGCGCGTCCTCAATGGGTGTGTCTGCGTTGGCCTCAATGCGGTCCATAATCGTTGTTGAATCTGGCAGGAACATGCTCAAATATGTCCTGAAATCCCAGCTCCAATCTTCCCAGTCCTCTGGCTTGCCAGTGAATTTCCCTGGCATGGGAAGTCTTAGCTTTCCTGCAAAATCCTCATCTTGTCCGAGTGCCATGGCAGCTCTCAGAATCAGGTTTCCCTAAGGTCTCCTGAATCTTCGAGCTCCGCTACCATGGGAAAATCAGAGACTAATCTCTGCTAATCAACCAAGGCAGCAAATGCACCTTTGTCATCTTGAGCCTTGAGCCATGCAATGGTAATCAGTATGAATTACATCCAAGTGGGAATGCATGGTGTACTTTCGCACAACCAACCAACCAACCAACCAACCAAGCAACCAACCAACCAACCAACCAACCAACCATTGGTCTCTTCCAGATACGATCATGTTTTGCCTTTTTTCCTCGGCCTCCTATTTTTCCATTTTTGGTGTTGTTTGCAAGAAATGCACATGGGAAGCGACTGTCTGGGTGAACTAGACTCTTGAACTCACCATCGTTATCTTTTTCCTTCAGTCCTTGACGGAGACGGCCGATTTGTCAAATATCAATGCCGGCGAACCTTTGAACCTTGAGCAGTTAGTTTTTCGCGTGTCTCTGAGGGGAGGGTGCGGGGGAACCAGGCTGCAGGAGAACCAGGCTGTCGGTCGGTCAGTTGGTTAGTTTGCTGGTTGGTCCGGTCGGTCGGTCGGTCAGTCGGTCGGTTGGTTGGTTGGTTGGTTGGTTGGTTGGTTGGTTGGTTGGTTGGTTGGTTTGGTTGGTTAGTTAATTGGTCAGTTGGTCGGTCAGTTGCTTGGTTTGTTGGTTGGTCGGTTGGTTGGCCGGTCGGCCGCTCAGTTAGTTGGTCAGTTGGTCAGTTGATCAGTTGGTCATTTGGTCAGTTGGTCAATTGGTCAGTTGGTCAGTTGGATTGTTTGGTTGGTGTAAATTGGTGGTAGTTTTGGGTGTGCTTTCTCACATAGAACTTTTCGGATTGAAAGTTCAGACAGTTTGTTTGGGCAGCGTTTGTGCACAAAGGTTTTGTGGTTGAGTGTTGAACTTTCTTGCAATATTTAGGGGCCTCCGCCATAGCACTGGCGGCATCTTTTTTCAATGAGTCACTGGAATAAGTATGCGCAAACATGATTTGGTGTTGCGACATGAGGATGAATGCAGGCGAGATAGCGCAATTCAGTTGAAAAGGCTGAAGAACACACACACACACATTCACACACATTTTACGTGTATGTCCTTTTTTGGACAGAAACATAGATAGTGTAAGCCTGCATGTCCTGCCTTTCTTCTGGCTCATGCTCAAACCCACTTGCCATACTTGCGAAGCGCTCGCTCCATTCATTCCCGGCCGTTTTGGCTTCAGACTTGTGAGTGCTACTTGTGGTTTGCCAGGCATAAAAAAACTACCAAACGCTGCGACGCAAGGATTAGCAACATATTTTGCAGCAATGCAAAGACATGGCTGCTTTTCAGTCCCATCTTCTACGGATGTTCCCCGACACGTTTTTCTCATTTTCAGGCTCGTTTTCAATATGCCCCATTCAGTCGGTCGACTGCAAGAGAATGAAGCGTCAGCCTTGCCAGTTTTTTGTGTGTGGATTTAGACACGACCATTTGGCCCCATCTCATTTCCCTCAAAGTTGTAGTGCCTCTCTGCTTCAGTACCTTAAGACAGTCTGTGCGCGCGAATGTGTAGCACTTCCTGGGTCTAGCACTTCCTGGGGCACTTGAACTCTTGTGTGTGTTTGCGAGTCCCCTGTTTGAGGTCTTCTCTTGGCTCACAAGAGATCACCAGTAATGCACCATTCTGGGGGTCCATTGACACATCCACTGCATGGATTTTCCTTGCATACAAATTGCAGCAGCAATCTAGTCCTTGACAAACTCGCTGTGCCCAATGTGAAAGCATAGGCAACCTTGCCCAGACGCGGACGCTTGCGTGTTCGATGTGGTAGACCAAAAGACATGCGTGGTCTGGTTCGAGTGTACTTTGCTTGTTTGGATTTTCAGGGAAAACCCGAAGGACCGCCGGAGCGCCATTTTGTGGGTGCCACAGTCCAGGGAAAGCAGGCCAATGTTCTAGGGCTTGATTCCTTGTCCATTCTTTTCAACCATCGTTCTTTCCAAAAATCGGATCCGTTCTTCCCTGGGATTCCGGAGGTTTTCTGGAAAGATTCGGATCCCTGGAAAGAATGGAATTGGAAGGTACCCTAGACAATGTCGATGCGCGACCCAGAAATTTTTTGTTTTTTTTTTTTGTTTAATCGCGTTTTCCGGTGCCGCAGGTCTTCCTCTCTCAGATGGAGTGGGCGGACGGCCGGAGCTTCATTATGCTGCCTTCCTGCAAGATGGGCCAGGTCTTCGCCACGCTGCGCCTGCAATTTCGACTCGGCCAGGCGCAAGCGGTTCGGTTTATTTTTTATTTGTATGACTATTTTTTGGGGAGGGGGTCCGGGATCTGGTTTATGACTTCTTTTGGGGGGGGTTTCAGGATCTGGTGACATGGCTGCACTTTTTGTTCTGTTTTCCCGCGTTTTTTTCGGCATTTTGGCTTTTTGGCCGTTGCAGGCCCGTGCGCAAGAGCTTCAGTGCACGTGTGTAGTTCACATCCCGGCCTTGATACAGCACTTGATGCTATCTGATTTGATTTGTCCAGATTTTCTGTCCCCAAGCCAATCTTGTGTAATTAGTCGTGGTTATTCAAATTCCAGTGAAACAAGGACATTCTAGTTGAACTCTTTCCTTATCAAGTTCGATTTCATTTTGGTTGGATGTTGAATGATAAGTTAATAAAGTAGAATTCATAAGGACACTATTCAGAGGTCCCACAATTGCTGAATAAGCTGTGTTTAAATGTTGACCGATTTGCAAGACAATTCTATTTGAAAGGATTTAAATTCGAATTCGAAATACACATTTGATTGGATTATTTCCTTGTTTGTGTCATTTCATTCAGAAATTGCAAAGAGTTCGATAAAGATCAATTTGAATTCATAAGTAAGGAATTCAGCCAAAACCGTGTTTACTACTGGCTCCAGCACTACCGTGGCCAGACAACACTGTAAACCACAGTGGTTTGTAGCGTTTTTTGTACCCAATTCAAATCTCCACCAACGGCCGCTCTCTAAAACTAAATTAGACTTTTAATAAGATTTAAATGGGACTCAAGTAAGTAAAGACTTGTTCCGAATCCGACTGGAAATTCTATCTTGCATGTACAATTTTGGTACTCCTACTGAAACTTATATCATCAGTTTAGAATTCAGATAGAATTCCTTTCCCAGTAGAGCGTTCAAATAGGGAGAAGAAGGCCGCGACAATATGTGCCTGCTCTGATGTCAAAATGATATCAATGAAGCTCGTGGTGCGCCCCCTTTGGGCAGAATCTTGATTGATAGCAGAGGAGGCAACAACGCATGGCCATAGCCGCGAGCGGAAAGAGCCCTCCGAAAGCCAACGTGAGATGCCGGTCCAAGCGTGTAATGAGCCCGAAAGTGTGGGCGAAATCTAAGAAAGAGATTCCATGGTAAACTGAAATGCTCCGAAAAACCCAAGCGGATCGCAAGGAGAACGCGACGTCGCTGGAGAGTCCAGTCGGTTGAAGAGCAAGTTTACTACTGCCTTGCTGCGTGACCTTCCAATTCATGCCACTTGCAAGTAGGTGCAAGCGTCAACGCACTCCAAGAGCATCGCCTGACATTGCAACGTAAAAGCGAGATGAAGCCCGGTGCACATGGTCATAGATGAATGGCATCCCCTTGTGAACCCTGTATGCTGCATCCGGGAGGTTGATGTCCATCTTGATTGTTCCTGGAGATTGTGCATGAGCTGCTTGACCACCGATTCGTTCAATACCCAAGAACCTGGTCCCTATACCCATGCCGCCGAATCCAGAGATCTTGGTGATTGTCTGTCTGGAAGTTGTACAAAGAGAACATCTTGTAATGGGAGGGCTCCAAAAATCGACGATTCCATGGCCGGTGTAAAGGGTGTCCCGATCTTCAGCTGAGTTCTACCACTGGCAGGGTTCGGGCCGAGAACTGGTAGAATTCCGTATAATCCCATCCTCAAATAAAGGAGCTGCCCAGCAAGTGGAAAAGCTCAGATTTGAAGCAGAGTGTTCAGATTGAAGAATGTTCAGATTGACACCAAAGTGGACGCAGAGTTGCCCAACCAAGTTGAAGTGTCATTGGACCTACAGTTTCCTTGAAAACACACCAAACAGGAGGTACCACTCTCCAACAAAAAGACACACACACACACACCATGAGCTTTTTTGGTGCAGAGTCGGTGAGGGCAAGCTGATGCTGGCGCTCACGTGTCGGGCTGCTCGCGAGAGCGAAGCTCCGCCAGAGATGCTGCTTGACTTCTCGGGCAGCTTGGCGGGAGTTCGGGGTGGGTCAGATGGGTATGGGTCAAAATTCATACAGGACTCCACGGCTTTAGTTTCACCGGGCGTCGCCCATGTTGGGTCCCAGAGCCGATCAGTTTGCTTGAGACATTTGGTCAGAGCCTCGTGAGCCCGGTCCTTCAACCGCTCCTTCAAGGTGTCTGAAGGCTTTCAATCCCATATATGTGGGGAAGCTCTCTGTTGTTGCTGCTTCACGAGGGAGCAGTTAGGAGGTCGCAGGGCTCTTGCCGATTTTGAGGGCACACTTTTCAGGGTTAAAGGGAAGCCACAAGGAAAGTGGCAATTTTGACGCGCACACACACACACATGATTTTGGGTAGACTCCTTTAGCAATGCTGGTTCTGCCTTCCATCTGAGGCTCCAACGCAGCAGGCCTTAGCCTGCGCTTCCGCGGCGCACCTTGGCGATTCAAGCACATTCAACCTTGCTTATTCTACGCAAGATACAACATCATGTTTTCCGGGACAGGCTCTTGCTGCATAGCTGCCCCGGAACTGCTGTTGGATATTCTAGAACTGTTTGATGCTCATTCGTCCCTACTTTTTCTGCGTGACATGCAGCATCTGTGTTTATTCTTCCTTTTTCTTGGGACAGGCCCCTGGTATGCTTTGTAGCTGCTGCTTTGTTGCCGGAAAATACGGTTCTTTACTTTTGCCGCGCAAATGCCTGCGTTTGATGCCTGGTGTTCTGCGTGAGCTGTTGCCCCGGGGCCGCAAAATGCTCTTGTCAAAGAACCAAGGAAAGGCACAGCCAACGCCCGCCCAAGATCTTGGTTTTCGGGTGAAGCATTATATTCCTGATCCAAAAAACATTTTATATTAATATTTGATGTGCTTTTTGGTGGTTATCTGGTCATTTACTGTCTCCTGATGAATTCTCGGTTAAACGGTTTAAAAGATGAATCCAGAGAATGAACCAGGAAACCAAAAGAAGAAAGAAATATAAAAATATAGACCATAGGAAAGCCATTGTCATCAGGTGAAAGGAAATGAAAGAATAGTAAAATCATATTTCCTGATGATTAGAAGCCTTCATTTACTTTATGATTACAGCTTTCCTGCTACAAATAATCATAAAGAAAGCAAAATAAAGGATACTATCCATAATAAAATAACTTGAAAATAAGGGAAACGGGATATTATCTCCTGATCATTGTCAACCCGCTTGATCTCCCGGAAATAGAACGAGATCAACTACACATTTGGGGTCCAACAACTACACATTTGGGTCCAACCACTACACATTTGGACAACAACTACACATTTCAGGTCCAACCACTAGACATTTGGGGTCCTCTCACATGTGGTACAATTTCTTTTGTCCTTTTGTCTTTTGCGAGACTGTCCTCTTATCGACAAACGCTTTGCTGAGGTGCGGCTCCGGGTCAACGGCCCCTGGAAGTTTGCGACAACCCTCCCAGCAAGGCCCGGATGGGAGCCGTGGTGATGCACGCCTCAAATTTGAGTGTTTGGTTCCCCCCAAAAGGACAAACCCTTGGTGTTGTGTGGGGAAACTTCGCCCCTCCAAATGGACCTTGGCCTTTTTTTTTCTCCTTTTTTTCCTTTTTTTCTTTGTTCTTTTTTCCCCCTTTTCGCGCTGTTTTTTTTTTTTGTGTTTTTCCCGCTGGCTGCGTCGCAGCTACAAATGGCAGCGGTAGACGTGCAAGGCGTCGGAGGGGCAGTGATTCGTCGGTCGGCCACGCAGCCTGTGCACTGAAAGCATGAGAGCAACAGAAAAGGAGAACTGCGCTAGGAACGGATCCACCTTGCGCGGCGTGGTGATGCCAGATCGGATACTCGAAAGACAAATGCCAAGCGCCATAGGTGTCCTTTTTGGTTGTTTTGCTTAAAAAATAGAAGGCCCTGGTTTACCTGGTGGTTCAATCATCTACCAGGGCCACCTATTTTCCAAAAAGGACACCTATGCCAAGCGCGCTGTGGCTCAGTGACAAAACCATTGAAGGCAGGGCAGATACAGGGAAGGAGCCGTTGTGTGGTGATGCCAGATCGGCAATGACCCAAAGGACAATTGCCAAGAGGACTGCTAATTGACCAAGCAGCGTATCGCCTCAAGCGAGAGAAGCAACTGTAAAAGGATGACAACTGACCAGCCTGTCCGCGGATCCACGCCTTGTGACCGCAACCAAGGTCAGCAAGCGCTGTCAACCTCTGCCTTTGCAGGTGAATGGGAAGCTTCCCTCAGAGTTTTGGCCTCGCTGCATCGGCGGAGAGCTCCCAAGGCTTCAAGACACGAGTTTTGAGTGGGGGTTTCCCTGCAAAAACCAAGCCCGAAAAGAGTACCCTCCAAAAATAGAGAAGCCAAGATCAAAGAGACTCGTGCAGCCTCTTGACTCTTGAAGGTCCGGACACAAGCAAGGGACCTGTGTTGCCCGCAGCGGACTAGGAGTCAACGCTTAAAGGGTACTCAACACTGCCGCTCAGTGCTGATGCGCGAGGCATGCAACTCAGACGGAGGCCAAGCAACAAGGACCGGGGGCGTCTCCTGCAGCCTTGTGGAACCTGGTTCGCAGGTTTGCCAACTGGCTGTGTGTCAAAAATGGGTACCCAAAATGGAACCCTGGTAAATGGCAACAAAGACTAAAGCCGCGTAGCCCTAGCTCTTTAATTTTGAGCCACACCCAACTGATTTGGAGTTTGTGTTTCGCCATTGCTAGGCCACCCCTTTTGTGCCAAGTCTGAAAGCGCCAGGCAATTCCAGGGTTGGTAACCCGTCTGTATCCACGCAAAGTGGCTTCATCTGCAGTGTTTAGGTACAGAAACGAGAGTTGGCTGGCTTTTGCCTTGCCCATGTATAAAAGGACTCGGCCAGCCAGCCGAGCTTGGCGGGGGAGTTGGACATTTGGAAGGTACCATTGTTCGCCTTGGCAAAGGGAGTCCAAAAGGCAACCGTTTTGCGGCAGCTTTTAGAGGCGACCCCAGATTTGAATGACCGCATGGTCCTTCCTTGGATCCTGCTCGGCTCTCCCAGAAACCGAGCTTGCCGTCAGGGCCCGTTCAACTTTCTGAGATTGAGGGAATTTTGGGAGCCCAGTCCTGAAATGATGGGCTCGGGCCAGCCATCTCATGGGCGCCCCGATTCTTTTCGCAGGACCCATGTCGTGTGTCATGTGCCTGCGCGACACCCACGGCCCGCCCGCAACCACCAAATCCCTGCAGGCGAACGATCGGAGGGACCCGGCCCGTGTTTTTTTTTTTCCCCTCCGAAAGCTGGGGGTTGGTGAGGCGGGTGGGGTGTTGGTTCGTGCCTTTGGCTGGAGGGAACCCCAGCTGATGTGTACGGTCAAATGAAGCTCAAAGAGCCGGGTGATTGAGGGCTCCATTTCCTAAAATGGAAAGGGCTCACTCTTGGCTTCCTTTTAGATACCAACCAAGAAAGACAATTTTGAGAGCACTCAAATAAGGGGTCCCTTCCCTTCCTTTCAATCCACCAAAAGGGCTCCCTTCAACCATCCAAAGGAGTGCGAGTGATTCGTTCACACAAACTCATGTCAGGACGGCTTTTTGATCCCTGTCATCGTGCCAAAGGAGGCTTTTCCATTTGGCCCATGGATTTTAGATGGACCACCTCGAAAGTGGGTGGAGATGAATCGACAAAATTGTGTCTACGAAAGGGTCACCTGTTTCTTTAGGTCGGACGGTTTTGTTTGGGTTTCCCTTCAAAACCAGCAAACAAAAGGCACCCTCAAATTTTGACACACCCATTTGGAAAATAGGACCAAAGACTCACTGACAATCCGGCTGCCAAGGAAAACCCTTGGTTGTCAAGCCGGTTTCCCTTTGACAAGCGCTCAACATGCCATGTTTGTACATAAGTTGGTGCTACCTCGGCTTGTTGGTCTAAGGCCTATATAAACCTGTTCCATGTTGGCACCGACAGTCAGTGTGCGTCCTTTTTGTTCAGTTTAGTCAAGGAATAAAGGATCCCCCAAAAAAGGGTTTTAGACATATTCTAGAACCTCAGTCTTCAGCATGGCCTGCAGCTTTCCATGAAGAATTGGAGCCGTGGCAAGGTCTTGATGTTTCCTGATACCCTGCCTATGCAATTCCGAGCCCGCTTGGCTTCCATGGTACCTTGTGGTTCGGGCCGAAAAACAGGTTCGGGTGGGGAAAGAATTGGGTATGGGTCAAAATTGAACCACCAATACACGCAGGTTTTTAGTCCATGTCTCCATTTGCCAGGATTTCATTTTGGGTACCTATTTTTGACCCACCGCCAATTCAGGGTCCCCGTGGCGCCACGGGCCCTTGGAATCGCAGGCGCTCAACATCGACCACTTGGCTTGGCGGATTGATGCCCGACTCGCGCAGTTTTGAGCAGTGCCGGCTGCGAGCTTCCTCTGTTGAAAGCGAAGACTTGCGGTTGTTCGGCATTTCTTCTTCTTCTTTCTCCGATTGCCGGTTCTTCCGCCTCCAAGTTGCAAGACTTCTGGCTCCAGGTTGCTACATTCTCCTTGTTTCAGCC